ATGAGCACCAATGGCATATTTGTGGCGATTTGAAAGTTGTTGCACTTTTACTTGGGCTGCAGCTAGGCTACACAAAGTTTTGCTGTTTTTTGTGTGAATGGGACAGTCGGGCAAAGGCACTTCATTACACCAGACAAAACTGGCCTGTTCGTCAATTCCTAGAGCCAGGTCAAAAAAATGTACAGCATATGCCATTAGTAGATTCGAAAAAAAATTTATTACCACCACTGCATATCAAGTTGGGCCTAATGAAAAACTTTGTCAAGGCGTTAGATAGAGATGGGTCAGATCTTCAATACCTGCGTCAGAAATTTCCAAGACTAAGTGAGGCAAAGGTTAAAGAAGGTATTTTTTTGTTGGACCACAGATTCGAAATATTTTGAAAGATACACAGTTTGAAAACACTTTAACAGGTATTGAAAAAACTGCTTGGAATGATTTCCGTCTGGTGGTCACTAATTTCTTGGGAAATAGAAAAGCTGACAACTATAAAACCCTTGTCAAAAATATGCTGTCATCGTATCAAAAGATGGGCTGTAATATGTCTCTCAAGATACATTTCCTACACTCACACCTGGACTTTTTTCCTGACAATTGCGGAGCCGTAAGTGATGAGCACGGCGAACGTTTTCATCAGGATATTTCAGCAATGGAAAAAAGGTACCAGGGAAAGTGGAATCCTTCCATGCTTGCAGACTACTGTTGGACTCTTGGTAGAGATGCTCCAGAAACGATTCATCAAAGAACAGCAAAAAGACAGCGCATATAGTGATTCTTATAAGTATATGAATCTTGTTACTTTTTTTAATATATCCTTAAAAATAATTTTTTTTTTCTAAAACGCAACTAATTTTTTTATTTCATTGTCATTTTTGGATTCAGCGCCCCAAAATTAACAAAGAAGTGCACTTTTCCCACAAGATACAATTAAAAAACTAAAATTTGTTGTCCAGTGTTATTTGCCACATCGGGAGTGTAGATGGCTTCGTGAAGGAAGGACTATGGTGTTTTGAAAAAAAAAAAACACTGACTACCACGAAGAGATGAATGGTGAAGCAATCGAAAACTGGTTTTTAGGCATTTTACCACGTCTTAAAGACAATTCTGTGGTGGTCCTGGATAATGCTCTGTATCACTCTCGGAAATTAGAAAAAATTCCAAATTCATCTTTTAAGAAATCAGAGATACAGGACTGGCTACGTGCAAAAAATATACCTTTTGATACATTTGTGTTGAAATTACAACTTCTAGATCTTGTGAAACAACACAGCAAAATATGATAAATATATGGTGGACGAGATGGCAAAAGCGCACAATAAAATGGTACTTCATTTGCCTCCTTACCACTGTGAGCTCAACCCCATTGAGCTCATATGGGCAGATATAAAGAATTTTGTTGCTGAACACAACACAACATTCAAGTTTTCCGACATGAAAGAGCTGTTCAACCTTGCGTTGCAGAGAATCACACCAGAAAAATGGTTAAAATGTGTGTAGCATGTTCAGGAGAAAGTGGAGGTTGCAATGTGGGAGCTAGACAACATAATTGAAAGGCATATTGAACCGCTAATTATCAACATCTATGATGACAGCTCTTCTAGTGAAAGTGAAAAATATTGATGTTGTCAAACACATATGTATAATTACTTTTTGTGCCCCCCTTAACTTTCAATCACCTCTATTGACTCTGTGACAGTAGTGTTGTGTTATTATTTACTGATGTCTCTTTTTCAAATACTTAGTTCTGAAATATCACCTTAATATTTCCATAGTTTTGAGTCCGACCCTGCTCGGTTCTTGTGTCTGCGACCATCATGCCAGCGACGCGTGCTGGTTGTTGTTTCTGGTCTTACTTGAAATGGATTCAAGTATAGTTGATCTGCAAATCGTGTGCCCTAAGTAGACGGAGGGAACCGAGGATGACCGCTTTCAGCATTCTTCCGGCTTGTGTGGTCTTAAAATCCGAGATTATTTTGCAAATTACTTTACATAACCAGAAAGCTCAAGACCGTGATAACAAGATAAAATTTGAATTGCACCGTTTTATAAAATAAACAGCATGAAAATGAAAATACATTTCTTTCATTTTCCCGTTGCAGATAATTTCATCCAATAGCGTATTACATTCATACAAAATTGGCCCAACAGTTTTTTCCTTCAAATTCCTGTCACTATACTCTTTCAGTTGCTTGTTGTAAAGAGCAGGTCTTTTTGTCACCTCGGTAATTATCCTTTCTGTGTCCAAGACACTATCTCGATGGTAGCATCCCTGGTGGACAATTCGCCGCAGGTGGGTGAACGTTCATTCGTGTCCATGTGTCTTATTTTGATTCGCGTTAATCGCGTCGCTTCCTGAATAGAACCTTTTTTCCCGCGGCGATTATTTAGTCGCATATGCGGGCATTGATATTAAAAAACTGCGTGTTTCATTTTTGCGACTGAACGGTCGTGCGACCGAAAATCGCATGTGCGCGCCTGGCCTAAAGCGAGCACCGAACAGAGCCGCTTACGTCGAGAAAATCATGCTTTACTTGACTTTCCAACGAATCTCTTTGATAGTTACATGGCAAGTCAGTACAGGTCGCGATTAGTTCGCTTGTGAGCACAGTCTTTGCAGTCTTCTTATTTTATTAGTCGAGATAGAGCTCTGTACACACGTTATTAATGGAGTGGCCCAGGAGAAAACTTCGTTTTTCAAGCTACTCATTAATGTCGCATCACCATTTACATCTCTTCCTCTACATAAATCTATCTGCTCGTCTTCAGTCAGTCGCCGCCTTAAGAGTCTGCGACTAGCAAAATTCTCCAGGTAATGAAAATCAAAGAATTGAACAGAAATGTGTGAATATCCCTGGAGAGCCCTATCCATCAGGAGAAATACCTACAATAGCTACAGTTTGCTTTGAAACATATTTGCTATACAAATACTGGAATACATTTGGCTGTAAGTTTCCCGTTTCGTTGGTTTTCATAGTTACAGACTCTGTAATTGCTTACTAACGGGTAGGCGGAAATTTTGGTTCATCTAAAAGTTTCTTTAGCATACCCACAAAAAGATCACGTAGTGAGCTCAGTTAAAACTGGTTGTACTCAATTAAAATTTGGCAGGACCGTTCCAAGTGCCAATTAAGGCATTTAATGCCTACTGTCGGTTCATAGAGTTTCATCGAAATCACACAAATAGTTTGAATGAAATTCAAAATAGTAAAAGTAAATTATACACACTGTATTTCAAAAAGGAGGTAAAATACATATCTATCAATCTATATATTATGAGCCTAAATGATCGTATACATAAATAAATGGAATGAAAAAAAGAATAGAAACAACTGAAAATGAAAAGCCCACAAAATTAATAAGCGAACTTTTTAACATGAAAACACATAACTGAAAAAAATGGAAGCACAACGTTTAACGATGGTAACATGGTTAACATTTATAAGACGGTGGAGCCACCTGTTTGCCAGAAGATGTGGAGGAACTATCAAAGGAATGCTGACAATGCTCCGGAAATGCCGGAGATTTCATTTGTTCATAATTTGAAATGTGCTGAAAACGATATTTCCGATATCGAAGAATCATTTCGTTAAAACAGATTCACAAAATATTCCCAATAAAGGTAATACATCTCTCAGCAGTTTAGTTGGTAACAAGTCTCAGGACAGTAATAAAATCTAATGCTAATTATCACACAGACAATACTCGTACATTCATTTCCAACAAATAATCACACGATTTAGACATTTTCTTTTGATAATGATATAAAAATGTATTACATGAAATTATAGATACATTTATGCCAAATCTACGTCACTGAACACTTTCTTCGCACAACATAGGTTTCTAAGCCTTGAATTTGTTGACTTGGATGGGCATACATTTTCCTCATTGCATGTTGAAAGAAAATATGAGTTTGTGCCTGTACCTTGTGCCGTCATTACCATGCACTACTTAAGTATTGATGTTAATACAACATCTTTCATACTTTATATAACGGTGCTGGAGGGTGACTCCAGAAATAACCATTCTACGTAGTCTTAAAGAAACTATATCACGTCGATATGCCGGTTGCAAGATTGTAGTACTTTGTGACAGTGCCTCCTCAACTTCTGAATATCCTACGATAGTCGCAGCTATTGATGGTGTTGCTCTATATTTGACACTCATGTTTAAGGAAACATCTCCCGATGCAACAGTATTGTCAATCTGGATGGTAATCAAAACCAAAACAAACGCCATATTTTTAATTCCTACCAGATAAGGTAGAGAATCCAGGCAAACATCACGTGACTCGATGTCGGATATGCAGTTTTCTTCATTTTTCATGACCTTGGCGTTGTCAGTCGTTACTTCTGTGCTTTTCATTTAAAATCTCAAAAATCCACACCGGGGATTCAAGGCTTAAATCTAAGAGCATGATACATGGTGTTTAGCAATTTGGGACTTTCTCTTTTCGGAATAACTATGTTTGAAATAACAAAGTTAATGTGTGGTAACACAGCAGCGAAAAAGTGAGAAACAATTGAATGGAGTGCCGATAAGAAATTTTAAGTACTTCCCTAAACATCTGGTTTGAAGTTGCCACCATTCGATTTAAATAGCACAAGCCTCAAAATAATCATGAAGACAAGTTCGTTATTGCTATCGGAATGTGCAGTTTTTAGTTCTTCATATCCACCTTGTAAACAAATGAGTTGAATTGAATCCTGACGCGTGTTGCATCTTTTTACATTTTACCTAATTTGGAGGCAGCGCCGAATTAGCCATCGCAGGTTCTTTTGTACCTAATATCTCGGTCCCAAGTCCCAACTTTAATAAACAGCCTGTAGTATCTGTAGTTGAAGTCAACGGTTACGTTTACTTGTTTTAATCGTTGCAAGAAATCATTATGCTGAGTAAGCTTTTGCAAGTCTGTTTATTTTAGTAACCTATGGTTGAGTGCACGGAAATATAGCCCCTACAGTTATTCAAAAGGTGGTGAAGATACTATCAATCCATACCTGCATGTTAGAGTAACAGTACATTTCGGGTCTTCAGTTAAGATGCTGGTATTATCCACTACAATTTTGAACCCGTCATGACTAACAAATGTGGTTCTGTTTCCGCGCAATCGGAAATGATTGGTATCCATAGGGTAAGCCAAAAATTGGGGACCCAACTTGTTGCACTGCTCGATTAAACCTGTAACATATTTTTAATTATTGAAACTTGGCTTACAGTGACTGAAGAAAGCGTAAAGCCAAAAGACCATTTATCAATGTTGCTAATGTTCTAAATTTTTATAGGCGCTACAACTAAATATTATCCCACTCTTTCTTTTTTACACGTATGACGGAGACGATTATTAAGACAAAGCGATGGTGACGTTCAATACCTGTTAGTTTTCCTTATGCCCTCCTTACAGCGCCATTGGTCATATACGAGTATACTTCAAGATGGTTTACGTTAAAACATTTTGGTTAAATGTTTAGCTTTATGAGATGCACTATTGGGGAAAGCTTAAAGGCCCCAGTTACAAAACGTAACAACCACAAATACGTTTTCTATACAGTGGTAGCCATGCTAAACATACGTTGTCAGTTCAAAAAGTTCGATTATTTTGACGCAACCCTCGACAAAGGCGAATTAATGCTTCCGCCTACCACCCTGAAAGCGCAGTGAGCAGATGACGATATTTTGATATTTCATTCGCTGTTGCAGCTATGCTACGTTCAGTTTAAGAATTTTTGCTGTTTAAGCCAAACTCAAAGTAGGGTGCATGCACGTGTATATCTTGGAGTGGAAGGTTTGAACGTTCTGCAAACGTTACTGGTTATGTTATGATATTTTGATCTGCGGTGGTATTTGTGGAATATTGTTTGATCTTAAAGAAAAACATGGACTATCAGAATGTATTTGATATCTGGGATGCGGTGTCAAACAAATACGTTAGGCAACAGATTTAGAGACCTTGATGTTTCGAAGGGCTATAGCCACCTAAGTCTACTGCTAACAATTTACTGCTTTATCTTGTACAGCTTTTTGGTAGAGCGCGTTAAAGATAATATTAAAAACCATTGATAATATACTAAGTGACATATAAATCCGAACACCCAGTTTAAATGGTTTTATTTTAATAAAAGTTGGTGAATGTATTTATCCTACTGTAAATAACAAGTGAAAAAATTTTCAGCCTTATCAGTTGGACATTCCGGTTTTTATACTGCTTTTTTTTAATTCACTAACGCTCTAAAAATGAATATTTCAGCCGCAGTAAAGAATCAACGTTGGCGGATTTTGGTTCTTGACATCCTTTACGATCGGTTACGATGCCTAGAGTACGGAGACCTGTACGATTTCGTCAACTTAGTGAGTTTGATAGGGGCCGTATAGTGGGACTTCCGGAAGCTGGACCTTCTTTTCGGGCAATTGCAGTTAGAGTGCAAAGAAGTGTAGACACTGTGATTAGGTGTTGTCAGGCATGGCTTCGAGAAGGCCGTACCCAAAGAGCAAGGGGCACTGGATGCCGCCGTAGAACAACAGACCGTGAAGATCGCCGCCTAAGATTATTGGCCTTAAGGGACCGTTTCTCCACTACCAGGTCCATTGCAAATGAATGGTTTGCAGAACACGGAAGACCTATTGGCATGCGAAGTGTTTACCGACGAATGAGAAGTTTTGGCTTGTTTTCATACCGGCCACACTGGGTCCTCCCTTTAACTCGAGAACACCGACGTAATCGCCTTGAGTGGTGCAGACAACAGTCACTCTGGGATCAGGAATGGAACAGTATTGTCTTTAGTGACGAGTCTCGATTTTATTTAGGCATGCACGATGTACGTGCCAGGGTTAGAAGGCGACGTGGTGAAAGGAGGAATCCAAAGTTTTTTGTTGAAAGACATGTTCATCACACTGTTGGAGTTATGGTTTGGGGTGCTATAGCTTATTGTTCCAGCCCACCTTTAATCTTCATCAGAGGTAACATGAACGCGCAGCGTTATATCCACGAAGTTCTAGAACCCCATCTTTTACCCTATCTTGACACCCTGGCAGATCCAACTTTCCAACAAGATAATGCCCGACCACATGTTGCAAGAGTCACAATAGACTTCTTTAAACATAATGATGTCAAATTGTTACCATGGCCACCAAGATCTCCCGACTTATCCCCAATTGAGCACGTGTGGGATATGATTGGTAGGAGATTGCTCAATTTGCAACGTCCTCCTCAGACTCTAGAAGCACTTCGAGAGGAGTTGGTGGTTGCCTGGAATGAGATACCACAGGAGGACATTGACCACCTGATCAGAAGCATGCCTAAAGTGTATCTAACGAAGCTACAAAGTATTCGTAAACAGTGGTTGATTCGTGATCAACGCGTGATCGGTAGCCATGGCGCTCTGTCGGCCTCTTCCTGATTGGCTTGTAGCGACGAGCCTCCAGACAAAGTCGCACGGTTGCCACGCTCGGCGAGTTTTCTCCAGAGTGGTTGATCACATTCGCATGGATCACAAATCAATCTGTTTGTGCAATACGTGCAATAACTGTTGTAAAGGACATTATATAACAATAAATGGCATCACAAAGGTATATTCCAATTTGATCTGCAGCAAATTATGAACGGCATATACGGAGATGCTCAAAAAGGTAAAGAAAATTTTTGTGCAATCTTTATAGTTAAATTTTTCCTAAGAGATAGCATCAGTGAGGGAATTTTTTTCTATTGTCTTATTTTTCATATTAATGCGATGTCGAGGTATGTGGCCCTATCGCAATTGAAAATAAGGTTTCGATAATCCTTCCATAAAGTTTCGATGAGTACATCTGAAATAACCTTGAGATATTCTTCAGGGAAATACAAAAATCTCCTTTTGTGTTTTTTTGTGCAGATTTATCTATTAAAATCCTATCCGCAATCTATTTTCCGTGCACACACCTTCAACCGAATGTATGCCATATATGATATTACCGTTTCCAACTTTCACCAAGGTTAATAGGAACCATAACAGCTCCCTACCCTTCCCCCCTATAAGAATATCGATTTGTAGCCTCACATTTCAAGGTTAGACTTCTTGTAATGTTTCTGTTCAACATTCGGCGATTTCTGACAATTTTCCCAATAAAACATGATCATTGTGACATTAAGCCTGGCAACGCTGCATAGTAGAGGGAACTCTCAGCGTCACGTTGATGGTTCGTCACCACGTACAGGATTGTAATCAGTTACGGATACCCGTTTATGAGCGCGAACGTTTTATGCACGTCTTGACTTGATTTTTCTTGCGGAAATTTAATATTAGTCTAAAATGTCTGACACAGATACAGCTGATGAAGAGGTTGAAATCAGCTTAACGCCACCCAGCAAAAGGGCTAAAAAGCTTCATCTTAGCGCAGGTGAAAAACAAATTATTCTAAATATCTACAAGAACCAGATGCAAGAGAATAGTGGATTGGCTATAGAAAATATCGTATGTAAGGTTGCTGAAATTTCTGGAGTAGGTCGATCAAGTGTTTACAAAATCTTGAAGGAATATAGACAAAATCACTCACTATCTGAGCCAAAAACATATCCAGCGAGAAAAAAAATCATCGAAAAAATAGATGACTTTGACAAAAGTGCCATTAGAAGAAAAGTACATCACTTTTTCTTCAGGAATGAAATACCTACAATAGATAAAATATTGAAGCAAGTGAATGATGATGAGGACCTGCCAAATTTTAAAAGATCTACGTTCCATAAGCTGTTGAAAGAACTAGACTTTCGATTTTTGAAAAGAGGAAGGAATAGTTTATTGATAGAAAAGGAGGAAATTGTTATCTGGAGGAGAGAATACCTTAGAAAAATTAGGCAATTCCGCGCTGAAGGAAGAAAAATTTATTACTTAGACGAAACATGGGTGAACGCGGGGCATACGCAGGGAAAGGTTTGGGTAGACAGATCTGTGAGGTCCTCAAGGCAGGCTTTTTTAGATGGCCTTTCGACGGGATTGAAAAATCCTGCAGGTAAGTTTCGAAGTATATGAACTTTTTTGGATGCAGATAATTCATTTTCTGATCGAATCAATGATTTGGAAGCTCCGAACTCAGTTTTGCTATCTCATCCAAGTTTCTGAGTATTTCCTTCACCCAAAAACTAATCTAAGACCCTATCCTACACTAATCTAAAAAGAGTAAGTTTCTTAATTTCGTCATTTAGTGCGCTCGCTGAGAAGTAAAATAACTAATTACTTTCAGGCAAGGGAAAACACCTGATCATTTACCACATAGGTAGCGTAGATGGATTTGTTCCTGAAGCATTGTGGGCATTTGAATCCAAAAAAACTGGAGACTATCACGAAGAAATGGATGGTAACTCATTTGAAAATTGGTTCAAAAAAATTTTGCCGATACTTGATGATAACGCAATTATTGTGATGGATAATGCCCCGTACCACTCCAGAAAATTGGAAAAAATTCCAACAATGGCCACCAAAAAGGCAGACATTCAACAGTGGCTTGTCTCAAAGAAGATCGACTTCGACCAAACAATGGTCAAAGCTGAGCTGATAAATATAGTCAAGCGACATAAGTATAAATATGATTTAAAAATTGTTGACGAAATGGCCAAAAACCAAAATAAAACGATTCTCAGGCTGCCTCCCTATCACTGCGAACTGAATCCTATCGAGTTGATTTGGGCCGACATCAAGCAATACGTGGGGTCAAATAACAGCACTTTTAAGTTTTCTGACCTTAAAAAACTGTTTGATGTTGCTGTCGATAGAATTACGCCAGCAAAATGGAGAACATGTATTGACCATGTCCAAGAGAAGGTTGAAACCAAAATGTGGGATATGGACAATATCATTGACACCCAAGTTGAACTCCTTATAATTGACATCAACAATTCTGATGATTCAAGCTTCTCGGAATACAGCATATAAAACGATTGATACCATTAAGACTGGCAGTTTAACGGGCTTTTTGGCAAGACAGGTAAGTTCATTATAGACTGCAATCAAAGTGTAAGTTTCTAGTTATTAATGTGGAAATTCCAAATTTATAATTACACAAAATTAGGGTTAATTTAGGAGTTCCAAAGCATAATAGTGCCATTTTGACCTTCTTCCTATTTCTCATGTAAATTTTAATAGCAATCAAACTAACAAACTTTATGGAGTCTGTAATAAACTTTTGTACTACTACTACTACGTCTGTAGTTTCTATTTGCTCAAAAAAATTTGCTCTGCATTGTGATTAGAAGGTTGATTTGTAAATATTATTGGGTATATATGTAAGTTAATAATAAAATATGAACAATTTCAATTGAGATGGTCCACAAGTTTTTTTCGTGTGCGTTTTAGTAACATTTTGCTGAAATGGTGAATACAGAATTACAGAAATATGATTAGAAAGGCGTGGTATATTCCTGATAATTTACTATGCTTTTGATAGAATTTACAGCAACACATATCTTGTACGACATTTTTTGATAGATCAGTCACAATAGCTTGATACGGCCCTGTAGCGTCTCCTACGGTTAAGTTCTTGATCACGTGCAATACGGGTGTATATGTTTGATTTTACTTTGTTTCTTCGATGGATACAGTTTAGGCGCGTTGGAGAAAGCTATAAAATATCATGATCACTCGAGCCTTTTAAAAGTAAACGAAGAGCTTGGGAAACATTCTCAAATCTATAGTTTTTAAGAACAAGAACTTGACTGACGGTGGTCAGTTCTTGGTCTTCATCATAAGAATATAAAATTGGCATACCTATTAGTGTAGTAGATGGAACGGAACTCAATAGGAATGTGCATTATTTTTTGTGATTGTAACTGGGCACAAAAGCTTTCCGTTTTTGTTCGTATAAAAAAGACAAAGAGGCGCGGTATGTGGAATGTCAATATAAAGTTTTGGCAATCACATCTTGTTTGGCAAATGTTATACAATAATCTCATTTGATTGTCAGATAAGGTTAATGTTAACGTTTGCATCCTGTAAATTGTGATTGCTAGAATTCTCTATTATTGTCAGTGAGTGCATTCAGGTAACATAGTCCAGAGCTGCAGCGGTTTCATGCTATATCACACTGGCCGTTGAATAGTTTTGATACGCGTTCAACAGACTGCCAAGGTTATTCCGAAGTTACTGCAATTCAACATAAAATTGCTTCAGCGATGGACCCCTCTAAGTTATCTGGACACAATCGTTGGATGCTTGATTGTGATGAACCTATTTCACACCTTTGTTGGTGGGATATGTCTGCAGTTCTTCCAAAGTCTCCTGGAAAGACACTGATGGTTTTCTTTCAACTTCTATTTCATCAGGTTCACTCTCCAGCTGAATATTCGTATCCAATAGGTGTCTATACTCTTTAAAAACGTCTTTCTTGATTATAGCCTTTTTACCTTGGCATATTTCTTGTACCTCATTTGGTCTTACATACCTGTGAACGATAATACCCAGAAAGTTGTAGTGAATCGATTCACGCCTTAAAAACTCAACCAATGCCTTCCAGTGTTGACTAGCTTACAACCTCTCAAACTATATCAAGTAGCTCAACTGATAGTGTTGATGGCAACTAAACGTCAAGGCACTAGTCGTTAAGGTGCGTCTAGATGTGCGACACTGAAATGTAACACTATTGCGTATAACTACAATAATACTACTACTTTCATCCGTCCGACCCAACCAATTCGAATAGATTGGTAGAAGCCAGGTCTATATATTTTTCATTACATTGTTTTTCGCCAAAATTATGTAGTTTTAGTGCATATTCTTGACTAATTCGCCTACCATTGCCTCGAAAGTGACAAACCGATACATCGCGTAGTTTTTCTATGGAGAGACCATTCAAGTAACGAGTCGTACTGGGTGTACTCACATACAGATGGGCAGGGCTACTGTGTTGCGATGTGAATCGCTCAGTTTTTGTTAATAAATAAGGCAGAGAAACGCGAGTAAATGTTTGTTAATAGAATAGAATATGAACAATTCGGCAATTCATGATTTTGGAAGGTGGAAAATACGAAAAATTGCCTTATCAAACAACAGCAATGCTGGATTTACCTGATCTTGGAAATACTGAGACACCTTGCTTGAATTCTATTCGGTTTTCCAAAGTGTTGTGAACCGAGAAGATTCTTGGCTATGAGCAGACACCTCGTTGAGCACATTATGGAAATTGCTGCGATTATATCATTGTCACTGTATTTATCGGATAAAAAATGTGGAAGTAGTTTGATTAATTTGATATTAATATTTGTGTTGCGAGTACTGAACTTCCAAAGTAGAATCAGGTGCCACTACGATGAGAACATTAACGTACTATTCCTAACGCGCAAGTAAAGACCTTACCAAACTAAAGAGTTAAGACTCAAAGCTAAGGTTACGTTTGATCTTACCTAGTGTCCATCAAAACATTTTGTTGATGTCCAATATTTTGCATTTTTTCATGTTTTTAAGTATACAATTCTGTCAACGAACCTTAGCTTGGGACCGAGCACTCAAAGAAACAAGAAGTGAAATTATGTCGAAACTACCCTATATGTCTCAAAGAAGATTCCATCTGCTATTTTTGCTTCAGCTGTAATGAAACTTATGGATCTATAATTTATGGTATGTCACTTGCATCTCCTTTAAATATGGGTATACCAAATGAGGTTTTAAAAATTCAGGGTAAACGAATGTATTAACGGAAATGCTTATGTATGAGCGTAAGAAGTGCATCGTATGGAAAATTAATTATAACACACAAGAAAGATTCATTTATTTTTGATGGCTCAAATTGTAGTTCATGAATATCTGTAGGACAAAGTAAGAATTTATCATCTATATTTATATGATTTAGATTAGTTAACGGGCCATCAGAATTTTGTGTAGCGTTTTGTTATTTTTCTGCTATTATGCAGTAACAATTATTTAATGCGCAAGGATTTATAGGTGGTATGTAGGTGGAAGTAGGTGGTTTGTGTCTTAATTCATTTACGATCTTTCATGCCTCGTTGGTTTTATTTCCTGCACTTATTTTAATTTTATAAAAATTATTTGTTCAATTAATTTTGAGCTTATTTAGTAATTCATGGTTTTTTATTCTGGAATTTAATTTTTTTCTACGGAAAGTCTTGGAGAAACATTTCTACAAGTTTATCATAAAATATCAGAAGATTACTGTAAGTAAGGAAGCAATCATTCCAGTCTATTGTGAGGCACTTGTTATATTTTTTTTGTTATGATCATAAAATAGTCTGATATATTTACCTACATCTCTTTTGTTTCTTGCTATCGAAGTTGATCATTGTTGCTGAGGCAGCTCTAGGATCTGCCAATCCAGCAGATAAAACAGTGCAAGAAGTAACAATATAATTTGCACAAACATACGTTTTTGATCGATGAGGGTTGAGATACATGGCTGTCATTTTAAAAATGCATATTCAAATAAAATGACAAGAAAGGTTGCTTTGTAGCCATAGCATCACAATTTTTGTCATTATACTTGATAGTATAGATAGTAAAATCTGCTGCAATTAATTTCTTTAATTTTCATAGATTGAATATAACTTTCGTTGATCAAAACCACATGTGATTGACCGACGTTTCGGTCCCAATGATGACCTTTAATTTCAGTTGACACTTTTTGACAATATATATTATGATCAATAATATTTACGAATGATTTACAATTTCATGGGTGGTAGTCAATGCTCTTGAAGTAAAAGAAACGTGGGAAAATTAGGTATTTAAATATACCTAATACAGTCAATTCATCAGCCTTTTTTTAAGATTGAATACCTAAAAGAAGTGCTGATAAAATTTAGAGCCATCGTGAATAAGTGACACATTATTGATAGGTGTTTTCTTTCTTAAAAATCCTTGATCAGCGATGTTTGCTATGCAGCTTGTTCACGTGCTAGTAATAGTAGTAGTAGTGGTAGTAGTAGTTTAGTAGAGTGTACCAACACTCTGCTCCACTTGTTGATCTATTTACATCTCTAATCCTCTCCTAATGTAGGTCAGGATGGTCGACCATTCTGTTGAGTGAAAACCTTCACTATCGAACTCTATGGTTCCGAATATCTCAGCCCTTATACGGGTCTATAGCCCAGGAAGTGAAACGCTGTCTCGTCCTCCTTTCCGCACATGGGGCAGATATGATCTCTCCTCACTCTCAAGGGGGATAAGTGACAGATAAGTTCAGTCTATAGTGGCCAGTGAGAACCTCCACCAGAAGATTGAGCGATTCTCTACCTCGGTTCAGTATCCGGCGCGCGCGACGCCTGTCTGGACCCGCTACGAACCTCTTGGACTGCTTGAAGTCATCTCCCTCTCGCCACGCTCTTCCCACGTCCCTGTACACCAATTCATTCAGGCGGCGTTGACCTGTCTCCTGCTAGTGCCTAGTCTGGGTACGACGATGCAAGTGCTCTTGGTCCCAAGCCTAGTCGGCAGTCAGCACTCTTGTTACCCGCTGTGAACGGAGACTCAAAGAACGGCCACTTCTTTGGATCGGGCTAAGCTCTGACGAGCAGTAGCATATCCCTGAACTAAGAATGCCTTCAGGTCAGCTTGACTGTCGGAACATATGAATGTGCTGTGCTCCGTTTACTGATGAATTTCCTCCAAGTATGCCACCATTAAGATGGCAAATATTTCTGACCTGAGGATCATTGTGCAGGTTCCAAGAGTGAAGCTTTCTTGCACACCTTTGCTTTGCAGGTTTACTCTCGCCCTACTAGATCCTGTTGCCTTGTAAAAGGATCAGTCTGCGAAGCACACGAGACACTGGGGCGGGAATATTATAACTTCGTTCACCCATTCTTCCTTTCCACGCTCACTGAAGATATATAGAGATTGCTCTCTGTCACTTCTCCGATCCTGGAGTGACCAACTATTGGTTCTCGTATTACCCACATTCCCTCATCGCGCATCCTTAGGTAAGCCGACATGACAGTCGTCTAGTGGTGGCAATCTCATGAGAACGTCTAGGGCTGTTGAGGGGGATGTCTTCATCGCACCAGTTATTCCCAGCGCCGCATGTCTTTGAATCTTGGCGACATTGTTGGTAATCGAAGTCTTTTCGATGCTTGGCCGCTACACCACGTATCCATACTGTATGCTAAGTTTTACCACCGTCATTTAAAGCCAATGCAAAACCTTTGGTCTTGATTTTCAAGTCCTGCCTCTTATCTGAGGATGGTACACCATGGAGGGTTGGTGAATTTATATCTTCCGTCCCTTGGTGAGCATGACTAGCTCAGTCTTAGATGGATTGATGAGACACACAATTTTCCTAAAATGTTGCAAGCTGGCTGCATTCTCTCGCAAACGACGCTTAAGAACTTGCCTTGAATGGCGATATGGCGTCTGCGTACTACTGTGCGTACAATCCGTCCGTGATAAGATACCAAGGTTGCTGCTCACGGGTTATTTCTTCTTTATTGCCAGGGTTATCCAGAAGTTGGCGCCATAGTTATCCAGAAGTTGACTACTTTACGGAATTATAGCATTCAGTATGGTAAGCAATGTTCGTATTTTTAGGATTATCGCCGATCAAGGAGCAGGATTATTATTTGTTGTAGTACATTTACGATTTATTCATACTTGATTTTTAGAATTTTCTTCTTTTTTCTAGGAAGCTTGTCAACTTGAGCCTGTTCAGTAACGTTATCAATAATTTTCCTCAAAAGTATGCACATTCTCTGTATACTTGATTTTGCGGTTTTCAATCAAAACATTGTATTAATATACATAAGCAAATTTTCTTTATTATTCCTTTGAAGAGATTTTTGAAACTACAAACTGATGCTGAGTGTTGCTTTCTGCCCATTTATTCTTCCGGGGTTCTACCGATATCCTTAGCAAAAATTAATTACGGTGCTTGTATCAGAGTATGTCAGTACAAAATGGTGAATGTAAAACTTTAAGGTCCGATTTTACAATTGATCGGCGGGAATCAAATTTTGCGTCAATGAATTTGGTTAATTTCTTTCAAGATACCTCTCAAACTGGCTAAAAATTATTCGATTTGCATGTGATGGCCCATAATTTTCATGTTAAAACAAAAATGCTGCATAAACCACCTGGTTTAGCTACAGAAAACTCTTTTTCCATTTGTGTCCGGACAAAAAAGTTGACGCAAATTCCATCAGTCAAAAAGGATTCGTGGCCTACTCGAAACCTGGTTAAAACCGGATACAATAGATTGACACACAGGATTGGCATGATGCCATGACTGAGCATTTTACTGAACATAACAGCGCGTTACTGGTGATGTAGAAAATTCTGCTTGATAAATTTTTTGAAGACATAAATAAGATTGCAGAATGCTTATTCTTCAACAAGAAACGAGTAAATAATCAATTTACTTAGCCTTAATAGGAAGATGTCGCGAACTCTACTGGACGGTAGAACGACTTCACGACAACGCTGGGTTATGGTAACAGTAGTAAGGCTAGATGTAGTTGTCATACTGCGAAGTAGAGGGTGTCAAATGTTAGTTGAAGATAAAGCGTTCTGTAATTTTATTTACGTCTTCAAAGGACGCATCAAGCAGAATTGTGCAGCAACCAGGCTTTCAGTATGGCGCAAATAGGTACTTATTAATTTAGTGTCCCGACGCAAATGTAAAAAGTGAATTTTTGTAGCTAAGCCAAGTGACTTATCGAATACTTTTTGATTTAATATGAAAACTAGGGGCCCATCTTACACAAATCGTATAATTTTTTCACTAGTTTGAGAGACATTTACAAGAAATCGACCATATTCATTAGATACATTACTTTAAAAACGCCTTCTCTTTGGTTGAATTTGTGATCCACGCGCTTTTTGCGCTTAGTAAAATTGGGCCTAAAATACAGGGTCTAGTCACTTAACTACTTTTTATTCACTTCCTCTTCATTTTCTATGTACTGCTTTGTAATACCTTGGAGGTTTGTTACTTTGCAACCAATCTGCCTCTTCCACAGTAACGTATCGGCAAAAGTCTCTGAAGCAAACCGGAGTTCTGATGTGAACCTGGTACACCTTTACATTGACACCAAACTGGTCAAGGTGGTCAGTAAAACGTACTAGAAGAACGTCAGTCTCTTCACAAAACGTCTTGTGCATATAGGTGAATTCGTTCATGGCGTTGTATACGGACCTTATGAGACAGCTGGATGGTAGTCGCTCTCTCCAGATGTATTGCATACGAATTGGATCAAAGAGATTTACATCGCAATTTGATTCTTCCCCCTCACTGTCCGCTACAATCTTGAACAATTTGATACATTATCAGTGGGTGCATTATCAGAAAGGATAGGAGTTTGTCATTGCTGAAGATCGAAACCACCCGATTTGCCCAGTGAGCAAATCGTCGGACATCTGACAATACCTGCTATATGCAGGAACCGTAATTTTACAGGAAACGAAAAAAACCTTATCAATTTTATACTACCGGCCGTAAGACTCTAGAGCTTTGGTCACAAAAAATAAATGACGTTTAACACATATTTAATGCGTTTTTATCTAAATGAAGCTCTAATTGGCAAAATTAGTGCAGATAGCTCATATTTCTGTTAACTTTCTTTGCAGTTAGCAGATATTGTACTATGATGCATACATGGATTTGTAAGATTCGGATTAGAAAAACTGTTATTCATTATATCAAATCAAAAGTTTAATGCTTTTACAAACCAAAAAGATAATAGCATGTATTCTCAGTTACATCTTAAATGAACGTTCAGCTTCTTTCCTTGACATATGGCAAATTGTCGTAAAACATGTGACAGTCCTTAGATATAACACTTGTATCACCTCATATGGCTCTGGTTTTTTCCTAGCTTCTTTTGACGCCTTAACATAGTCATTTGGTAATTCAATAACTCTATTTCTCAGTTTTCTTTAAATGCATCTGTGTACAGAGTCACATTCTATTTTGGTGTGTCCTTTGGTGAGATATTTCTGAGAAATCACATCGTCGTGTTTCGTTGCAAAGTTAAGAAAAATAGCACGCGTAATTATCAGATAGCTGGAATTGCCGCTCATTGACAGACGTGTTGCCAGCGGTAGGTATTGTTTTGGCTGAATAACTCAAAAGCTATTTTTTTCTGCAGTTAGCAATGTGCGCTGTCGGTAGACGAAGAAAAATGTGCATATACCTCAAATTGGGCAAAAATGTCAGATAGCAGGTATTGTCCGATGTCCGACGAAATGTGTTTTGAAATCAAACAAACTCTGAGAGAGGTTTCAACCAAACTCTTTTCTATTTTTAAGGCCCATACATGACAATGTCAATGGAATATGATATTATTTAAATATGTTTCGCTTTCGCAGAGTGGCACGGATCCAAGAGTTTTTGGAAACATCGGTCCATGGGCATAGACCTGCGACCGCAGGCGTTATTACGTCCCCAAAAGGGCCTTTGATGCAAATTTGTAGCCAGTGGCGTCACTGGTCCATACTTCTTCGAGCAGAACGATGTTTAGGCCATGACCTTTAATGACAAGCACTACCGAAACGGAAGAGTGCGGTAAAACACATCGCGCACCGCTGTTAACGCGGCGTGTCTACGAGGGATGTGTTTTAAGTTTTGCATATGGAAATAAAACAACACGGTAGGTAGTTTTAAATGACTTTATTGTTTTTCGAAGTATTCTCCAGGAAAATTAATATACATCTGCATGCTCTCGAACCAATTTTCGAAGCACTTATTCCACTCGTTTGCTGGCAGATCCAAGACGACATTTTTGAATGCGTCAGCTGCTTTTTCTGGTGACTGGAACTTTTGACCACGCAGTCTGTTTTTGATTTTCGGGAGAGAATAGAAATCGTTAGGACCTAGATCGGGACTATATGGAGGATGGTCCAATAATTTCACGTTTTCTTCCGTTAAATACTGCCGTGCTTTTTGGGCTGTGTGCGAGCTTGCATTGTCTTGGTGGAGGATGATTCTTCTTTCGGGGTTGATTTTTCGAAGCTCGGTGACGACTTTTGGCAAACAAATGGTGGTATACCAATCCGCGGTAACAGTTCTTTGCTCATTAAGAGAAACTGATGCAATATGACCCGCTGTTGACACAAATGTCGCGACTATCTTTTTCGAAACACTTCGAGAACGGATGACTTTTGTTGGCTTTTCTTCACCTTCGAACACCCAAACAGCCGACTGTCGTTTATTCTCTGGTTCATAACAGTAAATCCACGATTCATCACCACTAGCAATGCACACATTTCTCGAGTTTTCGGAATTGAAATGGTCAAGCGTTTTTTGACACCAATTAACCCTGGCTGCTTTCTGCTCTTCAGTCAACAGGTGGGGTATCCAACGAGAAACTAATTTTCTTACTCCTGATTCTTCATGTAAAAGTCGAGGTCTTTGAGATCTTCAAGGACGCCTGAATCTCGCGATATGTCACATGTCAATGATGAGTTTGCACACAGCATCGACGTTTTCCTGGGTGACTGCCGTTTTTGGTGCACCCACCGGGGGATCATCGCTAAGACTCACCCGTCCACATTTGAATTCTCCATACCAACGGGAAATTGTCTACTGATGTGGCGCTTCGTTGCCGAAAACAGACAGTAACTCAGCAAGGCATTCTTGTTGCGATAATTGTCTCTGAAACTTGTAATAAATTATGTCGCGAAAATGTTCTCGGTTGAGTTCCATTTTTCTAATGACTTGGTGACACTTAAAAATTCACTGCAGTGATAACACTGCACGTATTGCTGTGAAACTTTAAATTTAAGTTTATTAAAGAGTGAGGTCAAGATTCAGTACTGACGTTCGATCCACGCGGCCTACTATGTTTCTATATGCAAAACTTAAAAGACATCCCTCGTATGAATGCGGCGGGATTCACGTGCAGCCACTTCGTCGATTCAAAGCCATGCCGCTCCAGCAGTAGCGTACGATTACCTTCCATTTTTATACCCAAATATACAGACAGACAGATAGTTATCAACTTTTTTTTCTATACCTCAGTAGCCGCGTAGGCAGAAACCTAAATACCACGATACCGCGCCTACTATCAGGAGCTTAAAGAAACAAAGGGTTGGTCGTGTCAGCCAGTTTGCGAAATTCAATACGGTTAGGATGGGAGGCCAGGTCTGTCTGACAGGCACATCGCGCGGCATGAGAGCTCTAAGGGGCCGTTGACGAGCTGTAGAAATGAGCTAGATTGATGTTCAAGCTACCGATTTATGCACTTCTCCATCACCTCACTTATAGCAGAAACTCCTTTCTGTTATAGGCTAGATGCATGTACTTGTAAGAATGCTGCAGATCTCTTCAGTACAACGGCAGAAAAATAGGAATTAAGTCCGGCACGGGTATTATGTAAAAAACGTATTAAACTCCAAAAAAGCGAAGCTGAAGCGCCACTTGACCGATTTCCAAAGACTTCAAATTCGTCCTTAATATAGTATAGTTGTAGTCACCGTTATTGGCGGTCACGTCATCAACGCCATATGAAATAAGTAAATAGATCAACACGAAACATTGATAACTATAGTCAACGCCAAACAAAGTGGCGTGCACGTCATCAAGGTGGGTGTGTTGAAAAATTTACATTGTTGCCAAACTTTTTGTAAAATAATAAAATTTATTATTTACATATCTAGGTTTATAAGCAATACTAACCTCAAATGAGAACAAAAATAATAGTATAATAAAATTATAGATCTGTACTTGCATAATCATTAAGTATGACAATTATTGATCAGATGACACTATGAAACTACCATATTTAATTGATAGCTTAAAGGTACTGAATAAAAATCCAAATGGGGTCCTCCAAATTTTATGTATGGTATTTATTTTACAGAATTCATACAGAAAAATGCATTCTAAAATTAGGTAAGCTACTGGTGTAAGCTTTTTCTGTACAATAAAGTTAGTCGGAGTTTCTTTCTTCAGCGCTGTCTGAATCTGAATCTTCATCACTCTCAAAGTTGATTATTAAAGGTTCGATGTCTGGTCGATCAAAAATTCGTTCTCTTTCATACCATTTAAAAATTTCTTGCTCAGTATGTCGAACACTATTTTTCCACATGTCTGGGGTAACCGTTTGTAGAGCCTCGTTCCACATATCCAAACAGTCTTTTTCACTGTTACCATCTCCACCAATATGTCTGTTATAGTAACCTTTTGCTATGCCCCAAATTAACTCAATAGGGTTAAATATACAATGGTAAGGAGGCAGACGAAGAACTTTGTGCCCATGTTGTTCCGCCAATTCATCAATCACGTATATTTTAGGTGGTTTGTTTCTAAAAAAGCAGTTATTTTAAGAATAGGAATAAACAAAAGAAATATAAACTGTCGACCAAAATATATATAATTAAGAAGCATTATGTACCGAGCAACAATACTCAATAGCTCTGTTTTAAACATTGTGATTAAAAATGGTATGTTTTGATTTGTCAACCAGTCTTGGATATTTTTTTTTGTCCATGCATTGTTGGGCACTTTGTTCAATATCATGCTGTGATAAGGGGCGGTATCCAGTATAATCATAGATGGACTCTCCAATTTTTCTAATAACTGATGTTGAAACCATTTCAAAAAATTGTCCTGGTTCATCTCTCCATGGTAATCGCTCAATTTTGTTTTCGAAGAAAATATCGCTTCACTACCCTCAATAAACCCATTTTCATTTCCAGCATGTAATATAATGTATCTAAAATATATTAGTTTTAAATTTTATAGTGCAAATTGTGTAAAAGTACATACCTTTTACCATCTGTTTTAATAGCTTTCACGCTTTTTTGGTTTCCATTTTGCCAAGAGCGACCTATGGTCCCATTTTGAAATATCCAAGTTTCATCGAGGAAGACAAACTGGTATAAGGCCTCAACCTTGGCTTGATTGTATTGCCTTAGAAATTCCACCCTTTTCAAAGCTATACTTGGTAGTTCCATGAGCCCTCGTCGCGGATTGTCCTTAAGCCACTTAAATCCAAGATCTCTAAGCAACCGCCTTAAAGACGTGGCACTACCATCAAATAATGCCCTATCTCTTAATCGAGACCATAAAGTTTGTATCGTAACTTGTTCTTCTGAAACCATGTGTAATATGACATTATAATTTAGTTAACAAATTAATGCAAATTTCTGATAAGTTATTATAATAAGATCTTACTTTTGTGATACATATCATAGATCACTTCTCGAATGGCACTTGTATCCAATGTCGCTGTGTTGGTTACACGTTTAATATAACTCCGCTTTTTCTTGGGCGATTCTAAATTTGCATCACTTTTCACACCCTCGGAAATACGACTAACTGTCCTTAAACTAATTTTTAAAGCAGCAGCAACACGCTACAAAAAATGAAATTAAATTTCACTATTATTAATATACATTACATATAATTATTAGTAACCTACCTCTTGAACAGCATTTAAAGGCAACAAAGGCCCGTTGTTGTCCCTTTCTTGCTCAAAGTAGTGCATTAACGAGGCCACGAGTTCCTTACACCGACTATTTAACTGTTTGGGCATCTTTATATACCAAAATTGCCTTTATCTACTCGTAAAATGAATAATTTTGTTTTGAAACAAACAGTTGTTGATTTACAGTATGCGGGGCCAAAGGATATATAAAGATTTGAAATGCCACAAATTGATTCAGTGTCAAAATTAATACAAATGCCAGTTCCCAGTTTAAATAAGTTTCAAGGTGACAATGTGTCAACGCTGCGAAATCGGTTTAGTGCGTTTACATGTCGATAAGTGATTGGAGCGTTTGCAAAACATTTTATTTCGCATAATGCGTCTAAATTTATCAGAAAGCAACTTATGTGATATTTTAATAACAATGTTTATATGACTTGACTATTAACCATAATAAGAGAGTAATGACCATTTTACAATTTATATATCACATTAATATGAAACTGCAATAGAGCAATTGTTTGTGATAGAAACCTAGGCATTAGGTCGGGGAATTTTTATCGTGATGACGTGCACGCCACTTTGTTTGGCGTTGACTATAAGGCATCATGGCATCTAGGCAACACGTACAACTACAAAACGAGTTCACAAGTGTCCATCAGCTAGTGCTAAGTTAACATTTTGTGGAAAAACCTACATAATGTTACAAAAAACCAATACAATGCAAAAAAATCGACATAATGTCAAGATACGTAATACCCATGCGGACCAGAAGCTTTGTTGGTGTCGAACAACAAGAAGGGAATTTAGCCAAGGGCAAACAGAACAATGCTGCTGGAAGTCGAACGATGCGTTTGATGTCACAACCTGATGTGCTTTATTTGATAAGGTAATATGTGAAACAGACTGTCATCTATAGTTTTTTGAACATTTGAATATTGGTGTCAAATTTCAATGGAACGTGACCAGCCGTTATATTATTTGTTGGTCAATTCAATTTAAAAAATGTTAGCGTCGAGCTCAGGTGCTACCAACGGAAATGAACATATATTTCCATTAGGTTCAACCGCTGCTCAGCAGACTCTGCGCTGAGTCTTATTTGTGCAACAGATACAAAACTTAAATTCAGGCCTTATTTCAGCCAAAAATTACTAGAGCTTTGGATGAGGTTGTCATTATATAATCGGCCCTTAGTTGGAAAGTAGCTTGGGGGTGGCAGGAGTTGATGATAGGCAAGGATGACGTGTTACTCACTTCAATCTGTGATGTTTTCCAATAATCTGATTTAGTAAACGTCTGCAAAATTTCTGTCAAAACAGTATCCTCGAAGCTGGCTTCTGGAGAATCACTTTTGAACAAGCTAAATAGTAACAGATACATAAAATGCATGTATCCCTCGGGATTTTTCAAGCTGTGCTTGGCTGCAGGATTAACATCGTGTCTGTGAGGTATATCACTGCAATCGTTTTCATAGTTTGACACTAACCTCATTGGTTCGGACTTTCTCAAGATGTCGTCTAAAATTTGCACGACTACTCTACCTCGCTTTCTGTAGGTATTGGCAATTATGTCGATCATATCGCCTGAAATTAAAGGATTATTCATTTTGAGTGAGGAAAATACGGTAACAAAGAAAGTTGTACTCCTCAGCCAGAAGCAGCTTCTGTCGTACATATTGACCTTTATTGAATTTACCTCAAATGGTATGAATCCCTCGAATAAAGAATCATTTGACTGAGTAATCGCAACACGACTCAAACCTGTGGAATACTGGATACTGTTAAGTATAATGTCCCTGAGTGACTAAATATTCCCTTATTACCTTGAAAAACGTCAGCCATAAATTGTAGTGCGCCTGGTGAACACACAGACCCCTTCTGTGGTATCTTACAAATGTTATATTTTAGTGTAAAATTGAACATTTGAAGATAGTGCCCAGGAAAAAGAAATTAAATGGAATGTGGAATCATTAGGTTTTAAAGCTCCTAATGGTTTCCTCATACCTACAGTACACACTCCTCTATCCTTCAAAAGGGCTGTAAAGGTTTTTCTACATTGTCTTGCTTATAACTCAACAACTAATCATCAAATTGATATTTATATTTACTATAACAATTTTGTTTCTTTGGGACGGTTTATCTGAATATGTTGTAGCAAAACATCGAAAAACAGTAATTAATGTATGTTTTGAAATTCAAAATATGTAAGTGGCTGTCTACTTATACTAACCCTCATAGGAATAAAACGATTTGAACAGTTGCTTTGGCATTTCGACTCTTGGAGCTGTCTTATGACGCTTAAGGATTTCTTTATTATCACATGGGTTGTGACACTCTATTTCAACATCGATGCGTGGCTTCAACAGCTCTTCGGTAGAATCATCTTCTAACAGGTTATGCTCATTTTGGTATTGTATTTCGTCCAGGATACAATTCAAAATCACTGGTTCGGTTACAAGATCGTACGATATACGTTTCAGCATGGCGTTGTATCTTTGAAAACAGTGCATGGGGAGGATTCTGTATCTATGTCGCTGCTCATGCAACTAAACAAAATGGAAAAAATTAAATGCATTTTTTTCATTTGATCGGCTAGGTGGTGCAAAGATCAATAACCCTACATCACGTCGACGGGCAACGTAGGTTCGGCTAGTTTCGCTGGATTGTTTATCTTAGGTGTGCGACAGCCTCAAACTGAGCCCCAAACTTAATGGATCTCACAGTAAGGCCCGTCTAAATCAGTATAACGGAATATCGGTTCTACTCAGTCATTTGCTCTACTTGCAAGAGTGGTTCCTCAGTTATCAGATCTATATCGAAGAGTGGGCTTAGTTAGTATGATGAATCTACACAAACGTGTCGGTGGACATAGTGCCCTAAGCTAAATTGGTTTCAAGATAAGGCTGTTTAGTTAGTAGTGTGCCGCTAGTTCATTCTGCGCCTACTACAAGTGAGCATGAAGTTAATGTCATCTAGTTGAAAGGTGACATTTTATAGGAAAACGGACATAATCTAAAAACCTACACAATGTCGATAAAAATCGATATAGTGTCACTTTTCAAGTTGCGTAATACTCGTGCCGCATGGTTATTGTGTAAAACCCTATAAAAACGTCAAAAAAAAACAACAAAATTTCATCTTGCAAACTAGATAGTTTTTAGGGTGCAAATAGTTCATTCCACGTTTGCAGGCTATGATCGCTGTGAGCGTCCATCTTTGGAGGAATGACTCAACTACATGCATTGTTGGTTGTAGAAAGCAAGTATATGTTTTGAAGCCGAGTAGTCTGTAGTGTTTATCTGAGAAGATGTGAAAGAAAGAAAGTTGGTTGGGTCGCAAGACCGCATCTGGATGATTATGTGTATTGGTGTGCATGTGTATGAAATCATTTGCTATGTGGGAAAATTATTACTGAATATGCTGTCAATGAAGTATATCTATTAGGTGTGCTCGACGGGTTATTTATATATTGTCCTTTCTGAAGACAGATTATGTTCAAAGCTATAAATTACGAATTTTGCCTTTTTTTTGTTTTTTTTTTCTAAAACTGTGAAGAGCATTACGGGAAATAGCCACCGCGCCCGCGTTGTGTGCAAAATCACAGAAAAATTAGGAACTACGCATCACACTTCAACCATTTCCGCAGTGCCTCACATCTGGGCGCTGATTTGTCTTTTCTATTGACATTGTAAAATACATTTATATAAAATTTAAATGCTTGGAAACAAAAAGTAACGTAATAACTTTTTCACACTCATAAATATAGCATTTCCTCACCTGATACTTCACCAACCAGGGATTTTCTTTTCTTATCTCTCTCTCATTTTTGAAGAAATTTGCATATGTAATTTCCAGGTTGAATAAGAAAAAGTGGATGCGCAACTAATTTCAAGTTTTGAATACATCTCAAGAAAGTCTATTTGAGACAAGAACCAATGGAATTATCATCAATACAGATTATTAGCACACACATCCTTATTATGCACCTATGCAATGCCGTTTGATTCCAGCTATAGTCTATAGTATACAACTTACAGCTTAGACCTTCAATATAATACCATCTCTGAAGCAGATGTTACAACACATCATAGCCAAACATTGATAACTGAAGCATCATGAAGTTTAGGCAACACGTACAACTACAAAACGAGTTCACAAGTGTCCAACAGATAGTGCTAAGTTAGCATCTTGTAGAAAAACCTATGTTATGTCAAAAATGTCAAAAAACCGACATGATATCACTTTTTAAGATACATAATACTCGTGCCGATCTCAAACGCAGCTGCTCTTCTTCAAATGAATTGGTTAATAAAGGACTAATGCTTTCATTCGATTTCCCAAAAAGATCAATAACAAGTAATCTCAAAACGGTATGACCGTGTCAATTGGGTTGTTGCATTGATAATGAAAAGTATGGATTAGGAACACTCATACGTTGTCGAGAAAATATACCAAAAAGCTCTCCTCGGTGAGGGATCATACCTTATACTTCGCTCAATCGCTCGCGTATTTACTTACACGTGATTAATAATAATATTTATTCCGTCAATGTACAAAGAGATCAAACAACATGAGTAAATAAATATAGAAACAAAACAGGCTAATTTTACTGAAAATCGGCCATTGTGACTTGAGTATAATATGCATACAGCTTCGTGGGAATTTTTGTGAATCACAATGAGCACTGTAAACATGTATTGGGTCAAAACTAAAATTCCAAGACCTGGCTCGGGGGCTCATTTCTCAACTCGGGCTCAATTTTTTCCTGGAGAGCGCTTATGGAGGCATGACGCTTTGTAAAATTTCAAGGCCCTAGGTCGAGCGATTCGGTCTGATTCGGCAAAAAGTGGATTATAGGGTTTTGGAGACTTCTCCATTTTTTGGCTGCTCCTGTCAATCGATATCATTGGGACCCGTAATTTTTGACTATTCCGAAGTAAAACTGTCCAAGAAAAATGACATTGAAATTGCGATACCATAATTAGTTCGGCTGATAGTTCAGTCAATAGCGATTTTTTCGAAATTCTTTACAGGTTCATTGAGCTGACAATTCGAATGAGTAATTCGTGCAGGAGATGTAGCCTCATATATCGCTATATGAATGTAATTTTGTATTCGGGCCTATAATTGGTCGGATAGGTCTTTAAATCCAATTTTAGATATTTTATACCATTTTTCATGATACTGGAGGGCGGATCATGACTCATATCTGCCTCGATTTTGCTTTCGGAATAGAACCTGCGGAGTCATGAGATTTGTAAAATCTCAAATACCTAGGTCGAACAGTTCGCTTTGGATACGCATTCAAAGTTTTAAAATCCAAAAAAATGTGCATATTTGCTTTTCTGGCAATATTCCCATCATCTCGTTACACCTATTATTGTAAAGGTTTAGGCTCCGCAATATGCAACTATTTCGTAGTCAAAATGTCCGAAGAATTCAAAAATTACCTTTAAATTTGGATCTGATAATTTATTCGAAGGATATTTCAATTGTCGTTTTTTTAGAAATTGTTCATCGTTTACTTGGGCTGACAATTCGAGTGCGAAACCGAAAATCTGCAAACTTAATTTTTTTCGTGAAGGAAAAGGATCACCATATCACTCTGTATGAGCTGACTCTCGTATCTGAGCCTCTAAAGTGGTCGAGTAGGTCTGTAGAATCAATTTGCGATATTTTGTTTTCTTTTCGTCTCTTGTCACCACGACTATCCACAGACAGCGCTGTTCCATGCTTATTGGCAAAACTTCGTTGTGTATAGCTCACGGCTAGACCTAAGACTAATCTATGTGTGGGATATCCCCAATAGGTGCACAGGAGTACCGCATTATGCAGGGTGATAGCGGCTTAAACAATGAGATCTCAAATTCAAATTATTTATTATCCATTAGATAATTAAATGCATAGGAAACGTATATGACTAAGAATAAGTAATAAATAAAAATATATAGAACAAACAACATAACAATTATAGACAAACAAACTCTGCGACGGCATAGTCATATTTAAATATAAGGAATTTTTTCAAATTAGCTGAATAAAATTGGAGCATTCCTTAATATCGTTTGGTAGCTTATTAAATATTCTAGATCTCAATATATTGGGCGATTTTATTCCAACATTATATTTGGCGAAAACCACATTTAAGTCACTAAGCTGTCTGGTTATATAAAATTTATCAATTAAAAGCTTATCTCTATTATTAGAAACATACACAGATAGTTCGTATAAAAACAACGAGGGTAGCGTTAAAATTTTAAGTCGTTAGCCGCTAAACATTTTGTTCTGTAATGATGTAATAAGCCTCGAGAACTTCAAAAGACGAAGTTTGAGCTGTTTTTATTTATTTTGTCTTTAGCCTGTAGCTCCGCTGCTACTGAGCCGATTACCAAAAATTACAACGCTCTTTCGTCCTTGGCATAGTAGTAATCTGTATGTGAAAATTTCATCCAAATCCGAATAGGACTTTTGAAGTTACAGACGGGCTTACAACTAGCGGATAGACAGATCGAAAGGAATGTCTAACATGGTGGTGTAGGAAGTAAAATGGACATTTGGTCAGGACGCCACTACCAAGGCATATAACGTGTTGAAAATGCAGCGAATTTGACCGAAACCACTTTTCCTGTAGACGTACTGCAAGGTACTTAGAGATTTTGTCATTTTAAGTTGTGGGTGGTTGGAATCTCATTCAATGAAAGGGGTGATTCATGGAATTGACTCAAGTACAATTTATACTTATTAAATAGAGCTGTTGGATTGAAGCTAACTTCTATTTTTTACCTTTTGAAAGTTATGTCTCACCACACGAGCCATGTGAAAAAATATTGACCAAATACTAAATATTCCAATATAATATTTTTTTTAAATTTGGCTAAATGCTAACTTAGGTGTTTTTCTACAATAGCTTCTGAACATAATCAACTTTCGACTTCTTGATTTAGATTAACTTTCCTAAAACGACTAGAATTTGACGAAAAATAGGATGATTTGACACATCACTTTCTTTTCAAGTAGGATACATAATTTTACCTTTACGTGACGAATATAGTTCAAGTGATTTAGCTTGAGATCAGATATCTTCTTGATAACATATAGAATCTCTTCTAGTATCGCTTTACCATCTGATTCTTCCGTGACGTGTTTCATGAGGATAGTATTTTCGAAAGAGTCTTCCCTGTGCGGCCCATAAAAAAAAGAATTCATTTTTTTCCAGAAGCCTTCGTAAAGCTGCCCACTTGCGTGTATTGAACCGATGCCAAATTTGAGTACGGCACTGGTGGCAACACGGTACTTTTTGTTCAAGTATAGAACGATGTCTGGATTTGTTACACCTTGGATGACGTAATACCATACATGGTTGAAAATATTGTCATCAAAAATGATATCATTTTCTGAAATGGTTGTGTAGAGGCCTTCTACTTTTGAACCTTTTTCATCTTGATTGCCTTTACTGTCCCTATCTTTAGCTTTAGATGAAGCACCGGATTTTGTACCAGGACCACCTTTCTCTTTTTTACCTGTGGAAATATAAACAACATGCAGAATTTTGGTTCAATAACGGGATGCTACTTGTCTACAAAAAATTAAAGCATACCATGCTTATCTAAAACCAGAAAGCAGACGACATTTCTTTTCATCGGGTTGTAACAGCCTGACTATTGTTAAATTTGGTGATAGAGGAGCAGATACTCCAATAAGCTTGATACACTCTGTCAACATTGTATGGTTCTTTTCGCGGTTTTTGGAGGTTACGTCACAATGCCATACGAAATAAGTAACTCCTAATAAGAGAAATTGCACACTGCGCAAGCCGACACCTAACACAGACACAGCTGCTACTCGATTTTGCACACAAATATGAATTAGGTGATAGAGACATGTTGTTCTGCAAAAAATGCTTTCAATACAAACTTTCGACATTGTAGTTGTATATTCAGGCATTAACTACTACGTTTATTATCGAAAATCAACAGAGACAGAGACGATTCACGCGCTCATAAGAAGCCAGTTGTCATACTCACAGTGATCAGCGTAAATGTGAAAGACGAGAAAATTCTCAAGGTAGTGAAACAAAACACATGTAGTTCTTCTCTGTCCCGACAAGAACCCTCTGAAAGGAGCTATAACTGTGTCTTTAGGTATTGTCATGTTTTATATTCAAATTAAATTGAAGATGAAGTGAAATCGCAAGCATATTGTCACATTGACACTGATGAGCATAAATGTAGAAGACTCTCGTATTTTTTAAGGCCATGGGACAACACTAAGAACGTATAGTATGTTTGTGAGTTTGCACAAACGTCCGCACATAGATGGTGATTGGATATATAATATACATATATGTGTGAGCGAGATGGATGTACGAAAATGATTGCTGCAGTCTTACTGTGATCTGTCAAAAACAGCGAAAAGACCTATAGCTCAAAAATGTTGGCCAGAAATACCGAACGAAACTTTACAAGATCTTTACCTAAACAGTTGGTTCATACCTATTGGAGAATAACAAATAAGATAGATGCCTTCGCAATGATACAATTATTTGAGAAGAACCCTCAGAAACGCAAAAAATGACGAGTTATGTTAGCTCTGCCACAAGTGGACTGCATTTCAAAGTTTTTTCATGCTTTTTATAGAACTCGATGTTGAAACTATCCAAGATAAATAAATATTATGTATTTTTGTGCTGTACTAGATTACTATCCGAGGCTTCGCCTACGTAGATTTACTTGAAACTATATATAAATACTATTTGATAAGAATAACGGATCACATAGTAAAACATTTTTGTGAGTTGGTAGTTTTTTTTTAATGAATTTACTTGAACCTGCACAAATATCCTAAACTACAAATAATGCTGAAATAATCGAATGAGTGCATTTTGAAAATCAGTCCTAGAGAGTTTAATGTAAACATTATGTAGCAGCTGCATTATATTTTATGAGTTATTTTTTTGAAAACGATCAGAAAGAAGCGAGAGAGGAGAAAAGTCACAAAACGAAGTTTGGGCGATTTTTATTTTCTTTGTTTTTACCACTAGCACTGGACCCAAAACCTACAATGCTTTCTTATTATTGGCATAGTAGTGATTTTGTACAGCCGAAGAAATTGAGTGACAAGTGTGCAATTCCACATTTAATTCACCCTCGTAACTCACCTTTCCTCATTTCTTTAGTCAGACCACTGAGTTCATCCTCCAGTGCTTTCCTCTTATTCAATTTGTCAAGCTCTTTTAAATACTGTTTATGCATGACTTGTATCAGCTTCAACTTCACCAGCTGCGCCTGTAAAGATGGGTGCAACGGTGCCCCGTTACCTATGGATTTAGCAGCTGCATTGTAGACAATTTCGGGAATATGGGACAAAGATGAGGGAAACGCTTCCAAAGCGTAGTTCTCTACCAGATCCAGTATTTCTTCGGCAGTTATAAAAGTTAAGCTGAAAAAATGATTATGACTATTTACATATATGATAGTAAGTCTTGTTTGCAGCAAGGGAACCGCTGCTCATTTCTACCATTAGATAATTATGCTTTTATTGCGATTTGTGTTTCCAAACGTCTTATCAGAATAAATATCACCTATATTTATTTCTCTAATATCTTTCTCATTCATTACAGGTTAAGCTGGAATTTTAGGAGCTATAAAGGTTTGTACTATATCACAGAAACTCTCGCCAGTTCCAGGAAGGGCCTGCAGTGTATCATCGGACCTTACTTCTTTGATCTCTCAATTAGGCGATGTCATCTGGCATCGAGGGTCACCAGAATTAGCGATATTATCTTTTTTAAAACTTCTTGAAATCAGATTTAAATATTCGGGAACCGATTATTTTTCCTGAAACAGGAAAGCTCCCAAAGAGTGACGGAAAATGATTAGAGCTCATGTTTGGTGGCCTCTAGAAGTGGGCGTTAAGTATGATGTCATTTTTTATACATCCAACTTCCCATAAAAGATTAAGATCAAACATTCCAATTTATGATAAAAATATTGGAAGCACAAAGTAGGACGTGTTATGGCCGACTAAATTTGTTTTAGCAAAAGTCCCAAGTCTAGACAACACTATGGTGTATATGGATAACACAAGTTGATCTACGTCTTTGGAATATTTTTTAAATATTAAGGGAAACAAATCTCAAGGTTCAACTAGACAAATCTAAATTTTTCAAAAAGACAGCTTTTCTTGGACACATTTTCACACTGCAAGGAGTAGAACCAAATCCCGACAACATTCAAGCCATTCTCAAATATCCTTTGCTCAAATCAAACAATTTTTAGGTTTCATTGGTTCATTGAGCACTTTGCAAAAATCACCATGTTTAAAAAAAGGAGCAGAAATTATGCATGATAAAACATTTCTCAAAGCATTTGAGCACTGAAAAAATCTCTTAACGAGTGAACTATTATTACGGTATCCAGATTTTGAAATGCCTTTCGTACTAACTACTGACGCAAGTAATTTTGCTGTATCAGCTATACTTTCTCAAGGCCCTACTGGCTATACCAAACCAGTGGCTTATACTTCTAGAGGATTGAATGATTCTGAACAAAATTACAGTGCGACCGAAAAAGAATGTTTAGTAACAGTTTTTGGAACTAGGTATATTAGACGAAAATTTGAAATAGTAATAGCCGTTAATGACTTCAAAAGAACCAAACTCTAGTTTACAAGGATGGCATTTAAAATTAATTTGAGTATGAAGTTATATGTATATCTGGTAAATAGTACGACAAAAAAAAAATGGGGAAGATAGGGGAAAGGCAGATAGATATACAACATACCAAAAAATGACCCTAGTAAACCTTTCACTGTTTTTGAGATATTATTTTTTTTGTCTTTTTCGAAAAACTTCCTCTTTCAATCCGTCTTTTGTTGCTCATTAAGCAGGTAATTTATCGCAGTACTTTGCAGTAGCAGTCTAGTACATTTCTATTTTATTGACGAATACCAAAGTTGAGTAAAATAGTTTTCTAAAAAAAAAATTATGAAGAAGAAGTCAGGTTTACCTACTAATGATATTTCAAATGGCAGACCAACTATCTGAGAATATGTTGCAAAAAAACAAACAAACAGATATCCTGTTATTTCTAGGTACAGCAACAAAAGATAGATTAAAAAAGAGAAACAAAAAAATTAATATCTCAAAAACAGTGAAACTTTTACTAGGATCCTTTTTTGGTATGTTGTACATCTGCCCTTCACTTATCGTCCCTATTTTTTTGTCGTACCATTTACCGGACAACCTGTATAAAAATGGTCAATAAAATAAAAATGCCGATACACCTTCTCGTATCCACATTCACGCTACTGAAACTGACCCACAACACTCTGGATCACAAGTCCAACATGAAGAAGAATAACCATTTATCCGATTCATGAAAAGATTCAATAAATATTTTTCCGCAGAATCTGCCGATTTCTATAGAAAATAATGTAGATAATGAGCAAACATTTTGCTATTTGCAAGATATGGGCGAACGAGTTGAAGTTTTCAAACGATTAAAGCCCCATACAAGAAAACAATCCTTACCCTATCATTGCCTAGAAAGAAGTAACCCAAAATTTATTACAGGGTGATATTTCATCTGATGGTGCGTCTGATTCATCAACTCAAAATTTTCCAAAACGAGGTTTAATAAGTGGTTTAGGATCAGTTATTAAAATGATTTTGGGGAACTTAGATGATGACGATGCCAAAAATATGATTAGGCTATTTAAAAATTACAGGAAAATCATCAGCAAATTTTCGTGACGCACGAGATTCTCAAAAATAACAATAAGACATTTTATATAGTTCACAATCAAGCTGTAATAGAACAAAGTTTGGTCGAGATGTAAAGATACAATGCATACTGTTTTAATATTTTGGATACAATGTTGCAAATAAAGTTCAATATAGATACACTGCTCTCCATAGTTAGTATTTTGGAAAGTGTCATCGCAAGCTTTACAATATAATTTCAGTAGAAGCATGTTTTTTCAAAAATCGATCTTTTGCCTTACATAACGTTCCAAGAAAATGTTGGCTATGGATGTTGTGATTGTCTGAAGGCGGTAGACTGTAACTGACTATTGAGTGCTAAGGTACCACTCGGCAGATCTCTAAGGCGGGGCCAGAATGTGTGCGTGTTGCATCGACACGTGTTCCTTCGCTAGAGTCCATGTGGCGTCCCCTCTTTCCCCTGTATACCTCTATAGCCTCACGGTACCCATGGATGCTTAGGCTACATGCCTTCTTGGTGGTTTAAGTAAAAAACTGCTTCGAGAATTTACTAACGTGAGTGTTTTAAAACAAACCTGGTCTAAAAAGGTCCATGTTTGTAGGAATTGCACTGGATAAACAGAATGCAAAAACAAAAAGTAAAACAAAATTTGGCGTGACCTATTTGTAGTTACTGATTGTCCATCGAATTCTGGATACCTTGTATTTTGAATAAGCTATACTAAGTGACATATAAATCCGAACACCCAGTTTAAATGGTTTTATTTTAATAAAATTTTGTATAAGTACTTAATGAAGCATAATAAGTAAATGATAAAAATTTCAAAATGATTGCACTGCTTTAAAGCCCTTTGACCTTTAATAATGTGTGGATGCACCCTGATGTGCTACGCATTCTCCAACGCGCCTAGGCATGCTCCTGATCAGGTGGTCAATGTCCTCCTGTGGTATCTCATTCCAGGCAACCACCAACTCTTCTCGAAGTGCTTCTAGAGTCTGAGGAGGACGTTGCAAATTGAGCAATCTCCTACCCATCATATCCCACACGTGCTCAATTGGGGATAAGTCGGGAGATCTTGGTGGCCATGGTAACAATGTGACATCATTATGTTGAAAGAAATCTATTGTGACTCTTGCAACATGTGGTCGGGCATTATCTTGTTGGAAAGTTGGATCTGCCAGGGTGTCAAGATAGGGTAAAAGATGGGGTTCTAGAACTTCGTGGATGTAACGCTGCGCATTCATGTTACCTCTGATGAAGATTAAAGGTGACCTGGAACCATAAGCTATAGCACCCCAAACCATAACTCCAACAGTGTGATGAACATGTCTTTCAACAAAAAACTGTGGATTCCTCCTTTCACCACGTCGCCTTCTAACCCTGGCACGACCATCGTGCATGCCTAAACAAAATCGAGACTCATCACTACAGACAATACTGTTCCATTCCTGATCCCAGAGTGACCGTTGTCTGCACCACTCAAGGCGATTACGTCGGTGTTCTCGAGTTAAAGGGAGGACCCAGTGTGGCCGGTATGAAAGCAAGCCAAAACTTCTCATTCGTCGGTAAACACTTCGCATGCCAATAGGTATTCCGTGTTCTGCAAACCGTTCATTTGCAATGGACCTGGTAGTGGAGAAACGGTCCCTTAAGGCCAATAATCTTAGGCGGCGATCTTCACGGTCTGTTGTTCTACGGCGGCGTCCAGTGCCCCTTGCTCTTTGCGTACGGCCTTTTCGAAGCCATGCCTGACAACACCTAACCACAGTGTCTACACTTCTTTGCACTCTAACTGCAATTGCCCGAAAAGAAAGTCAAGCTTCCCGAAGTCCCACTATACGGCCCCAAACTCACTGAGTTGCGAAATCGTACAGGTCTCCGTACTCTAGGCATCGTAACTGATCGTAAAGGATGTCAAGAATCAAAATCCTCCAACGTTGATTCTTTACTGCGGCTGAAATATTCATTTCTATAGCGTTAGTGAATTAAAAAAAAGCAGTATAAAAACCGGAATGTCCAACTGATAAGGCTGAACATTTTTTCACTTGTTATTCACAGTAAGATAATTACATTCACCAACTTTTATTAAAATAAAACCATTTAAACGGGGTGTCCGGATTTATATGTATATTAGCTTATCGGAACGAGAGTTAAGGAATGTGTATCTCACTCAAAGCAGCGCTATGGAGAGTCGGCACATCCACCTTATTTTAAACACAAGATGAAATATAGACCAGTCAGTGTATCCTCATTATAGTAACCGTCATCTTAAGATACCGTATACCGCTACTACCTTGTCTTTTTTTATACACAATCCAGTGCGGAGGCATAGCCTAAATACCTGAACACTGCTTTAGGTGAGAGAGCTTGTCGAGTGTTGAGTCGGTTAAGAGTGTAATACGTATACATTATATGGGCTTTTACTCTTATAGTAAACACGTTCATTCTTTTATAGTTAACGTTATTCTATTTAGTCTTTATCGCTAGGTATTGCGAGGTAGTTGCTCTGCTAACTCTAGAATTTCCTTTATCATATTAGACGAAAATACCCCTGGTGTATAGTCTGGTTTTATTGCTGCAATTTGCTCAAGGGGGTATTCAAAACATGGACGCATAAAATGGGTCCACCAATTTTTGTGGGAAAACTTTTTATTCGACAACAAAATAACAAAACGTGTTATTTGGGATGCAATGGAAAGTGTTGGCAGGAACAAAAAAACTCTTCATATAAGATTTTTATGTATTTATGAGACTTACAAAATGGGACCGCCCATAAAAAGATCCGACCAATAGCAGAAAAGTCATGGTCGAAAACCGAAGCAAACTGAAGGTTTTGGCACTTGTTGGTAACGCGTCGATGGTTTCTCCAAAATTGTAGGATTTGTACTTCTATATAACCACAACAAAATTGGAGTAGATTTGTCGAGTAGTTTTTTGAGAATTTCTAATTGTTTATCCCACAACACCTGTTTTCCGGCCATCACTACTAGTTTATTGAGCAATATACAGGGTTAGTTCAAGGGACATTTTATTGCAAAATACACTAGTTTACCTTGCCGATATGAATCGCAAACCATTTCGGAAGATAAATGTTTTTATGCAAAAAAGGATGTGTGACGTTTTTTCTTCTAAACAAATTCAAACATTTGTGAGTAATTCACAACAAAAGATGATAGACACATCCGCTTTGTTGTGAAATGTGTCTAATAACGTATGTTTTTCTAATATCGTAGCGCGTTGGTTCAATTACACAGAAATACGAAATGTTTGAATATGTTTAAAAGAATAAAACGAAACCTTTGTTTTTTGCATAAAAATAACATTTATCTTTCGGAATGGTTTGCGATTCATATCGGCAAGGTCAGCACGTGTATTTTGCTATAAAATGCACTTTGAACCAACCCTGTATATTGCTCAGTAAACTAGTAGTGATGGCCGGAAGACAGGTGTTTTGGGATAAACAATTAGACAGTCTCAAAAAGCTATTTGACCAATATACTCCAATTAATTTTGTTGCTGTTTTGAAGAATTTCAAGTAGTTGCGTGAAATTATCGTCGCATTACCAGCAAGTGAAAAAACCTCCATTTTGTCTCGTTTTTCGGCCATAACATTTGTGCTATTAGTCAGATATTTTTACGTGAGATCTCATTTTGTAAGTCTCATGAATATCTAAAAATCTTCTATGTAAAGTTTTTTCGTCTCTGTCAACACGTTCGATTGAATCCCAAAAACACGTTTTCTCATTAATTGTTTTCAAATACAAAATTTTCCCACAAAAATTGGTGTACCCATTTTATGCGTCCATGTTTTAAATACTACGTTGAACAACTTGCACCAATAAAACCAGACTTTACAGTTATTTCAGGGAAATTTGATAGCTGCATTATTGATGACTGCATGCCTTGGTCAAATAAGTAGGTCACGTGATGCAATGCCTTTACGAAGAAATATAATTCCCTAGACTCTTTTTCAAAAAGTATTAATATAGATATAGGTCTGTTTTCGAAATCTCGTTCGATTAAAACGACTGCGAGTTCAGAATGTTGGAAAATAAACTCGAGAAAACAAAAAAACAGTAGAGAAGTATCAACCAATTGTAGCGAACTGACCGTCTTAAAAATTAGGCAAAGTGCTCCTTATTAGTCCCTAATACATTATGTAAATTCGTGTATTTTGGTGTAAAATGGTGTACCCATATTATGCGTCCATGTTTTAATTATCCCTTTGCATCAATAAAACCTGACTTTACAATTATTTGGGGGAAATTTACTAATATGATTATACTATATTGTTTGCAATACCTAACATTTGCTAACCGTTTAGAATTTATACAGTGTGTTCGTACCATACTATAAGAGCAGAATCGGTAAAGCTCTAATATGGGAGACCAAGGCGAAAATAAAAGTATTGATACTAAAGTGGAGTGTTCCCGCGAGACCAAAGACATTTTGTTCCAAAAACTTAGCGTTAGACATTGTGACAGTTGAGGAGAATAAGTTGCTAAAAGATAAGATAATTCAAGTTATTAGAAATATCAATAACAAACAGAAGCAGATTTGATATATCGAGAATTCAACATTAGGACGCGGTACTCCCTAATAACTTGACATAATATAAGATTTTTCTTTTTTGCAATCCATAGAAACTATCTGGAACACTACGATTGTATGAAATCCACTCACTTTTATATGGTTTCGCCGAAAAATACGAATTCAATGTGAAATATAAGCAAACTGACGACTTTCGCAGTGCCTCACACCTTGGGGCTGATTTGTATTTTCTACTTAACATCGCAAAATAAATTTCTATGAAATTCAAATGACTGGAAATAAAAAATATTGCGAAATATACAACCTCCTCACGTTTCATAAATATTCGTCTTGCTAGTTTTAATATACCTCAACAACCAGATATTTTCTTTATCTGTCTCATTTTTGAGATACCGTTACCTTACAGCTCTAGTATACAACTTACAGCTTAGACCTCCAGTAATGATAACTGTGAAGCAGATGTTATGTCACATCAGAGCTGAACCATGACAGCTCAAGCATCATGATGTTCAGGCAACACGTACAGCTACAGAACGAGTGCACATCAAGTGAGCAACAGCTAGTTCTAAGTTGACATCTTGTAGAAGAACCTACATAATATTACAAAAAACCTAAATAATATAAGAAAAATCTTGCCGCACCTGTATTACGTAACCTAAAAACTGACATTACATCGATTCTTTATGACATTATATATGTTTTTTCCGATATTATGTAGGTTTTCTTGTAAAATGCCACCTTCGAACTAGCTGACATTCACTTCATGTAAGGTAAGTACGCGCGGAATAAACTAGCGGCACACTAGCTGCTACCTAGTACACAATTTGACATTTTACCTATTCTTTTTTGATTTTATAGAGGTTTTTGTACGTAAAAACCATGCTGGAGGGGAAGGAGTGCTAGTGGCTGGATCAGTGCTTCTGACGACGACTGCCCTTGTGATAATTGATTTATATTAATACATAAAAAGTATGTTAAATATTGTACGGTGGCACTCGCCGTTCCACACTGCAAGGGTTGCGCGATTATGCCAATAGCGTGCAGACCAAAAAGCCTACCAAAAGCTGGACAGGCAGGGCGCATAAACATCTTTCCGCACAGGACTGAAAAAAGCGGGACAGATGGCAACCTCAGCTACGACCAAGTTGGAATGTATGTAAGTACTAGAATCCAGGCGACTTGATCTAGCAGACACTGAAGTTCATAGCATCATGACTGGCCTAAGTTTATCTATTAGGTCACTTTTGGAAATGAACTGACTTAACTGTTTACCTTGACGTATCCTCATATTCTCTAGCTGTCTTCACTATATTTTTCAGAATGTCATCTGATTCTTTGTCAACGGGCTGAATGAACACTATATCGTAGATTATTTTCGGGCAAAATTGTCTTATATCGAGCTGCATGAACACAGCATCAGTGTTGACACCAGTCTGTCGGCTTACAGATGATTCTTCATTAGATTTCCTCCGTTTAGACTTCTATGGTAAGTTACTTATGTGTGATAAGGAAACAAAGAAATGAAAGGAAACTTACTGCCTGACTCATGGTGTATTCTTCAGTGAGATGAGGTGGAGTTAATGGTTTTTATGTAAAATTATTAAATACTCCTTGAAGTACTTCTGACATTCAAAAACTCTGTTTGACAGCTTTGACCTGTGAAATTTCAAAATTGACGTTACAAGATGCAGCACACCCCGCAGCACCTAGCTTTAGTCTGCTTCAGGCCAAGGATACTACAGGAGTACATCAATCAATGGCAAATATTACAAACACATATTCGACGGGGGAACTGAAACACACCTGCATATTGTGCATAATTTTAGGAACTGTCTCAGAGCGTTTGAAAAAAAATGTTGCAAACATTTTTATAGCGATTTTTGTTTTCGACAAGACATCCTCTGAAAGGTTCCGGATCAAGAACTTGCTTATGAGGCGGAAATTTAATAATAATAATAATCATCTTTATTCGTTGGTACCAAGGTACAGAGATATGGAAGTGATACTTGGAAAAGGCGAAGTTCAGCTTTCATTCCTATAGAGGAATGGCTGGACTTCCACTTAACCTAAACCTTGAATTAGTTTTGGAGCTATTTTAGAACTCAGTGTTTCTGAGTTGTAAAAGGTCCTTACATATACAGGGTGTAAAGTTAGTAGAGGATCAACGGAAGTCAGGTGATAAAAGGCCTCAAAACATATCGAATGAACCCCTTTATGTGTGGATTGATTGACTGACCATTCGGTCAGTCATACATATCTTGCTTTCCTACAAAGCAGTTTGCATGAGCTGCTAGTATTTTCAATGCGATGATGTGCCATCTGCCATTTCGCAGGGGATGTACGGCTTTACTTACACAGTGCCTTCCCTGGGCGTTGGATAGGTAGAGGTGGACACATACAATGGCCTCCAAGGTCACCCGATTTAAATACTGTAGATTTTTTGTAAGGGGGTTTTATAAGGGGATAATCTACGCATCTGAATATAAAATGTCAACCAACTGCGGCAGAAAATTGATGAAATAAAAATAAAGTACCCAAATTAATTTCAAAGACTAAAGGACAATTTTATTAGGTGTCGCTTGTGTATAGAAAATAATTTAGACCATTTCGAACATGTTCTTTAAAAGTTAGTCAAATTAAATTATCTCACACATTCGTCGGTAAATCGCCATGATAAGCGGCTAAACACAATAGGTTCTGTACTTGTAGGTGGTAAGGATTCTATTGCGTTTCTTACGTTTATCGCATCACAACAACGAATGTGACATGATACACTCATCGTAACAAGCTGAAATTTTCAGGGTTTATTTTAAATGGATTGAAATAGCTTTTACAATGAAATGAATAATGAAATACAGTCTCAATTTTTTTACAGCCATCCAAAGTTGAGGGTTGGAAGAGGTTTTTCACAAAAAAATGAATTTAAGATTTTTTGAGTTGATTTCTAATAAGCTCTGTCAAAAAGTGACATAACCATTGCTAAAACTAACCATTTAGCTCATCTAAAAAAAATGACAGAGGCTAAGATTAATGGCATTACACTTTACACTTTACACCCTGTATATGTAGCTCTCAAGGTACATCAGCTCTTTGTATTTACCCTATATTGCGATAGATGGCTTAATAGTTATAATTAACCACATCTGTTCACTTGCTCCTGATTCCCTATTGCCACGATTTCAAAAAGGTAGCACTCACTTTGTTTAAGATTTTGAGTTTTTTAGATATTCTTATTTATCGCACACCTAGTTCCAAGTGAGCCATCAAATCTTGCAACTTTTTTCCCATTTAGTTAAAATTGCTACTCCGACCGTTTTCGGGATATATAGCCTCGATGTTCTTTCCTGTTCACTTCTCAACTTCGCTACATTGTAATCTTCTATATTTTTTATGTTTTTATCGTTGCAGAAAAAAAATGAAAGTACTGAAATGGCCATTCTGATTTTGCTGAACCGTGTAAGTTATTATAATAATTAAAGGGTGGTGAACCTCATATTATATCATTGTTTCTAGACCTTACGCTCAAATGAAGTATTTATAGCTCATACTGAGAGAACTTGGGACCTCCGTGAAATTTTAGTAAAGATTACGTCAAGTAGGTTGATTCTGCACATCCCATTAAATGTTGTTGGGGACAAGTTAGCCACTTTTAAAAAAACCTTAACAACGAACATGTACAACAGAAGAGTTGAAGCTATTCAAAATGGCTCATACAGGAACTAGCCCCCAATCTCCACCCATTTGTCAAGCATAATCTCACCCTTCACCCTACAACCTCTCTCCTTCAAATGTCAATCCCTACAAGAAATGTGAGATTTATTTTTGTTTTTTGCCCAAATTTTCGCCAGCATTAGATCGAGTTTAAAAAATTGAAGTCTTTTTAATTCTTGGTATAGGCATAGTGATAACCTTCTGTCCATACTTCATCAAAATCTAATATGTTTGCTCCAAGTCATAGATGGGCCAAGAATTAAGGACGTGGGGGTTAAAAGGGCAGTTTTACGTGTTGCATTCTGTTGTGCTTCTCTTGTCGACAGTTACTGCAGAGTGAATGTTATTTTGATGATGATGGTAAAGGGCTGTCGGAGATGGAGGAGAGATTGCGAGCTCTGTGAGTAGTGTTCTAACAGACACGATAGTATTCTTAAATGTTGTAGATGTGTTTTCGGGTACCAACACGCAAGAGGGTACAATTGGTGGACGGTCTCCAACACACAGCTATTGCTGTACGTACCAAATATTTGAACAAAAATCGTTGGAATTAAATTCAAGCAATAAAAAAGCAATTATAAGCACGCTTAGAATAGACAAGGGTGATATTTGTGTTGGGACTTCTTTTCTTTAAATCTTCTTTCTTTAAATCCGCCTTTGCTCTTACCGTGGAATACAGTAAGTAAAAGTTTGAAGATTCACTGTAGTGATGTTAGAGTTGGTGAAAGCTACGAAATCATCATTTGAATCTCCTTTCGCTCGAACGCAATTATTGAGAAAATACAAACCTTCAAAATAACACGAAACATCTGATAACAAGAAATACGGTTAGTTTGTTTGCAACTGATGATGGGTGATGGCTCAAAATCAAAATTTTAACTTTGAAGTTCCTATTTCACGGGTTATGGCGGCACATCTTTACAAATCAGATCTAACAACGTGATTTTTGCGGATGATTTGAAAACCAAATAAACACACACGCCACTTTTTGCTTCAGAAACAACTTCCATTTTAGGTAATATTATACTCCTCGAGTGGGTAGCAAAATATTTCATTTGAATGAACATTAGCTTCCTTAAAGGCAAATGAAAGTATCATGGTAGCACCTACCAAAACTTCTGGTAGACATCAAGGTTCTTTAACCTTATTTATTTATAAAAATCCAAAGGTAGATACGAATCATCGACCGTCTGTTTAATTTCCCCCACAAAAACCGGTTTGCTCAGAATGGGTAATGTGGTGTATTTCTATACACAATCCAGACTAAGAGGGCTTTATTTATCCCCTTGTTGCTTTCGTGTTGAGGTATTGTGTCACGTGCTCCAACCCCTACTATAACCGTTTGAATAGGCTGATGCAATGTTGTCACACTTGAGGAAACCCATTTCAGATGAAGTCAAAGCATCACCTGTTACTATTTTAGATCGCTTCTTGCATAGATCACACAAATATATTATGCCTGTTGTATATATATCCGAAACAGGAACATAAATAAGGCATTTGAAATTATAAATCTGCATGTCCATGAAAAATATGGTAATTATCGTTATTATCTTGTCGAAGAATGTAAAAAAACATCGATAATGACCTTAGGAAAGCTGTGAATTAGAATGCCCAGGGAAATAAATATATGGAGGACTATGTATTGCTTGGAACAGACCTTACGTTTGGGACATATTTTATATTTTATTGAGCAGATTTTACCGCTTCATTTACGTTGGGCAGAATCTACGACATCATCACCATACGTTTCCTTTGCAGATGTGCTAGAAGAACTGAAATACTAGATAAAATTATTCAGAGGTTAAAACACATGAGCTTAGTTTTGAGTGACTTCTGAAAAAGAAGAATATCTAAGTGTATTACTCATTCTTCTCTTCTTCTCACTATATCTACATAGAAGTCTTGATGTGCCTCAGCTCAGAAGAGCAGAAACCTGGGTTGAAGGCAAACAGACTACCAACCACCAATAGGTGGATTTTCGGCAAATTTATGTTTTCTGCTTTTACCAATCCGACGTCCATGATTGATTCTTTCAATAACAGGAGAAAACGATATCTTTATACTGATTAGAAGTTTTTTTCATAGATATTTAAAAGAAACAACGTTAATCCATGAGTGACATACGGATGACGTTTCTTTGTTTACAATTTGTATGTCGTCACATCATGGCCGATAGTGTTTTCACCGTTTCGTATTAAAAATACAAGGTATATATATTTGTATAAATTACACTTGTATATACATCTTGCGCTTTCAAAAAGTGAAACCGATATATATCCTTCCCTTAAACTAAATACCATAAGAAACATTCATTTATTCTATGAAACTAGATATGAGTCAATTAGCCTATTGGAGTGCCTTTCGTTTCAAAATTTTGACAGAAGCGGTTGATAGAGCCCTAAATGTAGAGTAACAGGTCTAAAAAAATCCAGCAGATACCCAGAAGAAGTCTATGGTATTTTTTCTCGCTTTGCGATTAGATATCGACGCGCGTGATAAATATTTCCTATAATTATTGATTTAAAACCTGTTATTAAAGCTTTATTGGTAATTTTGGATAGTATGTAGAGACATACATAAATATTCACCATGTTATGAGTCACAGAATTATGGAAGAAGCTTTACTTAAGCCTCTTAAAAACAGGAAAACAAGCTTTGACGCTTTCCTAGTGAGATACTTTTTTTATTTTTTATCAACTTTCTTTCAGTACTTTTTTGAATGACAACACTTAAAAAATACTGAACAATACACAGTTTCTACGAATTTTCTTCGGAAAAGCACGTTTATGCGATTAGTGCCACTTTCGTCCAGATTTTTGTTGTGCAGTCAGATAAGTAGATTGATATTGCATTGCAAAAGTGTCATGTCCAGTTCTGCTGGGGTGATGATGTTGTGATTAATTATATGTATCACTCGAATTCTGAGGATAATTTGGTGCTAAAGTGACGAGCAGATAGCTGTTTATTTTTTTTTGTGAACCAGTGGCGTACGCCCAGTTCCAATGGTGCAGGGAGCGGTATGTCGGGGAAAAATAAACCGCCAGACATAGAAAGAAGATGTGAAGTGTGTGATGAGGAGATCCGTAAAGGAGGTGCTAAGGTAATGTGTAGCAATGTAAGCTGCGGAATCACCCTCCATCAAAAGTGCTTTGCCTCAATTGCTAAGGTTATTAAGTTAGACAAAGCTGAATGGTTGTGCAAAAATTGTGACGAAGAAAGCGATTCTTCGATTAACACTGTAATAACATCTGATGGAGATTTGTCAAGGGAGTTAACTACGGTTAAACATGATGTGCAAATTTTGACTGACCTTGTGAATGAACTTAAACGTGCAAATGAGATTTTGTTGGCTAAAATTGAGCAACTAACAGTCAATAAGTCTCCCGGTGTACAAACACCTTATCTAATTAGGAATATATCTTATAGTCAAGCTGTTTCGACGAATGTGAAAAATGAGACCAAATCTGTATTGGTTATAACTTCAAAAAGTGATAAAGAAACAAACATGGATGTCTTAAAAAATATAAAGGCTAACGTTAATCCAGCAACTGAAAAAATTAGTATTAGCAGCACCAAACTTGTGAAACAGGGAATGCTCGTAAAATGTTCAAATGATGAATCTTTACAGAAACTAAAAGCAATAGTTGAGGAAAAATTCAGTCGTCAGTATAAAATAACTACACCTAAATCTTTCAAGCCCCGTGTCTTAGTTTCTGATGTGGATAAATCTCTTGATAACAATGATGATTTTATTCAGTCGTTGGTGCAAAACAATACATTTCTGGTTGATTGCGACATAAAGATAATAACTATGCTGAAGTTAAAATATTCTTTAAGTTATGTCATAGAAGTGGACCCGGAGGTAAGAAAAAGAATAATTTCTCAAGGCTGTTTGTACACGTCTTGGAGAAAATGTCACATCCGTGATCATATATCGATAATCAGGTGCTTCAATTGCTCTCGGTTTGGTCACCTAAAAAAAGATTGTAAGAGTAAACCCTTGTGTGCAACTTGTTCCAATGAACATGATGTTAAAACCTGCGAATCTAGTATTAAAAAATGCGTAAACTGTTCGGCATATAACGACTACATGCTGAGTCGTTCTAGAAACTATAAGCCTTCTGCTGTAGACCATGCATCATCAGATACCCAATGTCCATGCTTTTTAAGGAGACTAGCACAAATTAAATCCAGAATTGATTATGGCTAAATCAATAAAAAATATTTTAAAAATATGCCATTTAAATGTACGTTCTTTAACGGCTGACTTTAATGAATTCTCATCTCTTGTACGATGCAAGTTTGATATTGTAGCAGTCACTGAAACATGGCTCCATTCAAACATTGATAGCACTGCTGTCAGTATGCATGGGTATAGCTTCTTCCGTAAAGATCGGGGGAGTAGAGGGGGTGGCGTCGGTCTGTATGTTAAAGTCGGTTTTAATAGTAGCGTTATTCCAGTTGAGTTCTGTGATTTTGTAATTCCCCTGGAAATTTTATGCTGCAAATTTAAACTACTGGGAAAAAGTATGCTAATTGTTGTGGTATATCGGCCACCACATTGTTCTATATCTCAAGCTATCCAATCCTTAGAAAACTTGATCGCATTTTTCACACGAGTTACAGCTTTCAGCTCCACATTAATTGACCCCATTTTTGTAAGTGACAGTACTATAGTAAAGAAGTCTGGGACACTTAATGCAGACTCGATTAGTGATCACCGACTTGTTTTCTGCGAGATCTCCATTAGTAGTAATAAAATAGAGCCCAAATTTGTAGCATATCGGGATCTCAAAAGCATTGATATCCCTAGTTTTAAGACGCAGATCGCTTCATTGCAGCTTGACGATATATATTACGTAGATGATGTTGATACTAAAGTCTCTATTTTTACTAACCGTCTTATGCATCTTTTTGATATTTACGCACCACTACATACAGTGCGAGTCACAAAGCCTGCTGCACCCTGGCTAACTCCTAATTTAAAAATAATATTTCAACTAAGAGATGATGCATTAGCAGTATTTCAGAATAACAGATCTGCACAAAACTGGGAATACTACAAGGATTTGAGAAACTTTGCTCTAGCATCTCTGAGAAGAGAAAAAAAAGCATATATGTCTCGTTTCAGTAACTTAAACTCTAGTCAAGCGTGGAAAGAGCTAAGGAGGATGGATGTGGTTGCACAAAAGCGTGTTGCGATACCGCCTAGTTTACTTGATCCTAACGATTTAAATAACTACTTTCTTTCAATTTTCCAGACAGCTGTAACTAATTCTAACTTGATTGATCGTGTTTCTAACAGCTACAGCAATAGGCGTTATATACCAAGTGCACCTCTATTCGTATTTAAACTGCTCACTCAGCAAGACATTCTTAACATAATTAGTAATATTAAGTCTACGGCCTGTGGTTCAGATGGTTTAAGTTTAAATATGGTTTGCTTATGTCTGCCCGAGATTATCGATTACATAACGCATGTTATTAATATCTGCCTTGAAAGTGGTTATTATCCAGCCAGCTGGAAAAATGCTATAATTATTCCACTAGCCAAAAACAATCGTCCAGAGCAACATTCTGATCTTAGACCAATCAGCCTGTTATGCTTTCTATCAAAAATACTAGAGAAAGCTGTCTACTCTCAACTGGTGGAGTTTTTTGAACAGAATAATTTATTTCCTCAATGTCAGTCGGGTTTCAGGTCTGGTCACAGCACGACCTCGTCGTTATTAAATCTCACTGACTCTATCATCTATAATTTGGATAATCACATCAACACCGTATTGATACTGCTAGATTTCTCGAAAGCCTTTGACATGGTCAATCACCAGATACTATTGAGTAAATTGTCTTACTATGGTATGTCAGATATAGTTGTAAAGTTCTTCGAGTCATACTTGCTTGATCGGCAACAAACTGTGAAAACTGAACAGGGCATGTCCACTACGAAGCCGGTTCCTTCAGGAGTTCCTCAGGGTTCTGTGCTTGGTCCCTTATTATATCTGATATACACTGCCGATTTGCAAGATTGTATAGTCCATTCAGCCATGCATACTTACGCGGATGATACTCAGTTGGTGTTTGCGTTTGATCCGTCAGAGGTTGACGAGGTTTCTTTCAAAATCAATTTGGACATGACTAACGTGAACGATTATTGCAAGAAACACTGTCTTAAAATAAATCCTAAGAAGACTACTGCTATGTTGTTTTGTTCGAAAAATTCATATCCAGTTGTGAAGGAGAGAATTAATATTGTGTTGGATCAAACACTCATCCCTCTTGTTGACTATACTAAAAACCTCGGAATAACTCTCGACAAAAACATGAGGTTTGATCATCACGTTTCATATTTGTCGAGAGTAACGTATATGCGCTTGAAACTTCTACATTCAAGTCGACATATTTTAAATTTTAAAACCCGTAAAAAGCTTTGCGAAACTCTTGTATTGTCAATTATATCTTATTCTCTTGTCCTCTATTATCCATGTTTAGATTATAATAACAAATGTAAGCTTCAGAAAATTCAAAACAGCTGCTGTAGGTTTATATTTGGTCTCCGTAGGTTCAGTCACGTTTCGGATAAAATCAGAGAACTCAACTGGCTGAAAATTGATAAACTATTTTTATATCTATTGAACGTCTTAACTCATAAAGTTCTGCTAACAAACAGACCGGCCTATCTTTTTAGCAAATTGATACCTCGTGGTAACTTCGTACCAAGGACTCTTAGATTTAATATTAATTTTAATATGCCGCTCCACAACACTTTTATCTTTGAAAGGAGTTATACCTATAATGCTGTTAAACATTACAATGCTCTTAACCATTCGCATCGATCCAAGCCAGTTTTTTCTTTTAAGAAATTAATGAAAAATCAGTTGCTGGAGACAAGTTAGTTCTCTGT